CTGTGTGAAACCAAGTCTTCTCAGTCTGTGCTGAGGAAACATTCATCCTGACAGTTTCATCATGTACCTCAAAGTTTCCCAACATTAAACAAACCATAAAAACTGCAGAGTTCGGGTCTGGTCTGGTGCCTGGAAGATCTCAGATACTGACAGGCCTCTTAAAAACCCTTTCCTCGTCAGTCAGTTTCTTCATGTCTCAGAACGTCTCTGTCTTTGTTTGGGCAGATGGAAGTCTTGCTGAGTCCACGCCTCTCCGTGACAGAATGGCTCTCTACCAGGCTGCCGTCTCCAAACAGGAAGYTGCTGTGAGTAGAGCCGGATTTAATCTTTGGGTCTGAAACTTTCTCTGCTTCCTTCACCTGCACACATTTTACAGGGAAAAACTAAAAACAAAGCATTTTCAGTGGTTCTGGATGGACATGGATTTAAACATTTTTTTTCTGCTTATGTTGCATTTTATGCATTTGTGTGTGCAGAGATGTCTYAAGTGTCCTGAAATATTTCATTTGTGAAATAGTTAGCATCTCATTTAGCTTTTAGCTTCCTGTTTATAAACTTGCCTTATTCAGTTTGGCTATTAATTTATCTTCACAAAAAGAAAAAAGGAAACTGCTTCTTGTGTTTTTCTTTAGGTTTTATTTGTACAAACTGTTTAGTTTRCCAACAACAGTCAAACTGAGGAAGCAGCAGGTAGTTAGTTTTCTGACTAAACGATGATGAATTTTAATATTTTCTTTAACTCATTTGTGGTTAAATGTTAAAACCTGTAGTAGGACTGTGGTTCAAACTCACAGTTTCAACCAGTAAATAATAACCATAATAAACAGTGACCAGTAAATGGTAACCAGTCAATAACTGGTAAACTGTAACCAGTAAATGGTAAACAGTAAATATAACTGGTAACMAGTAAATGGTAAACCGTAAATGGTAAGCAGTGAATAGTAAACCGTGACCAGTAAATAATAACCGGTAAACAGTAAACATAACCGGTAATCAGTTACCAGTAGACGGTAAACCAAAAATGTTAACAAGTAAACAGTAAATAGCAACCAGTAAATGGTAAACCGTAAACAGTAAGCAATGAATTGTAAACTGTGACCAGTAAATAATAACCAGTAAATAATAAACAGTAAACATAACCAGTAATCAGTTACAACTAGACAGTAGACCAAAAATAGTAACAAGTAAACGGTAAATGGTAACCAGTAAATGGTGACTACTTGTTACTATTTACTGGTTACCTTTTACTGGTTATTATTTACGGAGAGCAATSGGCCCRTTTAGGGCCCCCCGCTCATWTGGGTTCTTTATCCATCCCCAGTAACCATACTGGTTAGTAACCAGTAAACGGTTCAGGACTGAGGGATCTGTTGTGTTTTGGGTTTCAGAATGATCCTGTGGACGGCTTCTGTGGGAAACAAAAGGAAAACGTCCCGCCCTTCTCTCTGGACATGGTGAGGTTTAAACTGTTTATCTCCTGTTTGTGAAACCTGCCCRAACTCATCATGGTTTGTTTTCCACTGGTTCTGGTTCTGTCTTTCAGAGCGCTGAGTCTGAATCAAACAGGAGAGTTTTTACCTCCGACAGCAACGGTACTTTCACCTCCTCCTCCTCATCTTCTCACTAAATCGATATCACAAGAACAATCTACAGTTATGAGAAAAATAAACTACTTCTTCCTTCGTTTTACCATCAGAGAACACATTCTGTTTTTCATCAGTTCTGTTCTTGGGAAAAAAACATTTACAGGCTCCATCCTGTCATTATTTATTACAAATAAAATGTCAAATAAATGAACAAAAACATTCATCCACTGACTGATCCAACTACTTTTTGTCCCCTGTCGCCGAGGTGGGAGACATAGAAATGCTGTCCGTCTGTCCCTCCGTGACGGGGGACATCGGCAACAGTTGGCGTCAAGTTCTATCTTGTAGAATCTAAATCTGTAGGACTTTTCAGTCTCATGGCTGTGGAGATGTTTTGTCCCACTCTTTTATACGATGTAGTTTTAATTGAAATGTTGTGAATGGATGTTAAAGAGCTAAACCGAAGCTTTAGGAACCACAGAAGCACCTCTACTCTCTTTGGGATCATTGGGCCTCATGCAAGAACCGTTCGTACGCACAGATTTGTTCTTAAGTTGTGCGTACGAGTGATTTAGGAGAATTTGTGGCATTCACCGATGTTTTCGTATTCTACGATTTTTTTCAGATACGAACAAAATTCACAAGTGGTCCAGACCTGTCGTATATTTTACGAGCAGTCAGTCTGCTGTTATCCAGACGGGTTTTCTTCACTAATAACTTTATATTTTGTTAGTTTGAAGATATTTTGAGTTGAAAATAAATCACACTCCATAATTATGTTAACAGTAGGCTATTCTGCTTGAATTAGTTATAATTTTAAATGTAATAATTTAGACTAACAATATAAATTGTCCGTCTGGCCGGCTTATCCGGGCTCGGGTCGGGGGGCAGCAGCAGAGAGACCCAGACATCCCTCTCCCCAGCGACACTTTCCAGCTCATCCTGGGGGACTCTGAGACGTTCCCAGGCCAGAGGGGATACATAAACCCTCCAGCGAGTCCTTGATTTTCTCCAAAGTGCCAGAAATATTTTGAAAACATTTTAAAATGCTTATTTCAGAACYGCAACTGAGACCACTTGAGAACTGCTCGCACGCGCGTGCGCGCAGGGGGGCGGGGTAGCTTCTGAATAAATGAAAATGATTTAACACAGTTGTTTATACTTTTAGCAGCTCTTTTTATTCCACAGCTGACCTGCTAAAAATGACAGATTTTCTTTTCTGGATCTCTGACAGACGGACTTCAATCTCTGAACTCGTAAAGTTCTTCTTTTTAATTTTCACTGTCATTTTCATGAATGGACACTTCCTTGTATCTGAGGCAGGAAACATAGCCTTATATGGTGTATTTGGGGTGGTAATTATGCTAATCTCCTCTCGCGTGCACGAGCAGCTGGATAGAACAGGTGGAATTTACGCAGCTCATTTACACACTTTTCCTGAAGATAGAAGAGTTTGTTGAATCTGACGTGACGTGTTCGTACGAACCCTTTGTACAAACAAAAGTAAGAGAAATTTAGTATAAGAATACGAACATGTTCTTGCATGAGGCCCATTGTTCTGATGATGGACCTTTAACCCTGAGAACATTAAAGCCTGGAAGTGAAAGGAGCACCTTTAATTTCTCTGAAAGTATTTTATTTTTGTAAAACAAACACTAGGTTTTTATAGTTTTGTTTCTTCATTTTTTTTACAAGTTTCTTGAGGCTAGACAGTGAAACAGTTTTATTAAACATGTCTGTAGCTCCCTCTAGTGTTCACTTTATTTTATTGCTTTTCTTTAACGTATATTTTATTTTTGCTCAGGCTCTGCTCCTAGTACTCCTTCAACTCCCAGTCAGAAAGACACTCCTCAGTCAAAGACCCTCAAGGTGAGACCACACAGGAAGTCCTCACATGAATCTCACATTCCTCATGCATGTATAATTAAGTGTGTGTGTGTGTGTGTGTGTGTGTGTGTGTGTGTGTGTGTGTGTGTGTGTGTGTGTGTGTGTGTGTGTGTAGAGCTTCCATCTGCCTCTGAAGGAGAGCTGTGTGTCCTGTCTGAAGACTGTTTATCCTCTGGAGAGGCTCGTGGCCAATCAGCAGGTCTACCACAGCTCATGCTTCCGCTGCTCCCACTGCAGCACCAAACTCAGGTGAGGATGACTTGGCAACAAGAGGAAGAACCAACAGGTCAGCAGGACGTGGTTCACTTCCAGCTTGATTTTATAATTTTTTTTAATTTATCTTTAATTCAGCTGATCTGCTACCTTTGGCTGCGTTCACACTGCAGGTCTTAATGCTCAGTTATGATCTTTGTGGTGTGAACGTTCAAATTATATTTTAAATGTGACCTCCATCTGACTCCAGCGTGAACTCTGCACGGCCCTGATGTGACCCGCATGTGCAGAAAACGTGACGTCACATTCAGCTGGTTACAGAACTAGCTGAACATGGATGCTTCATGTTAGCATGTCGATTCTGAAGTTGCTGTTCRATCGGAGCASATTAAATAGAAACCTGACCTTCTTGTTTAGTTCAGTGTTTATATCTGATCCTGCTTCTGACCAGATGCACAGGGGAGGAGCTATATTTTTATTTCGCAAGGGGTGAAACAGGGGTGGTCATGGTGCTAGACAGGGTGGGAACATATAAATAAAAACTACACTGTATTTGAAAATTTAACATGGCTGCCAGAGCCAATTTCGAATGGGTGTAATTCAGCTGTTTTGTCTGACAGTAGCTAAGAATGTTCCAAAAAACATGCTGAATGCTTGTCACAATTTAAAGCTAACTGCTAATGCTAATTTTACAATTTAACCTTTTAGATAAACAAAACTGAAAATTGATATATTAGTAGCTGATGATTAGCATTTAGAATTGGTAAAAATTCAAGCCGAACATCGCAGCTAACTTTAAATAGCTATAATTCAGCTGCTTAATTTTGCTAATCCCATTATAACTTCAGGCCTAATGTTAATTTTATAACTCAGCTATTTGTTATAAATACTGAGCTGGAATTTGGCATGGTGGTAACCAAGAGCAATCCCTATGACATTCTGAAAGCTAATCTCAATTTTAAGCTAAGGGCTATACTATGTATTTCAGCCAATTTTAGACATCTATATTAAATCAGAGGTTTAGAAGGTATTTTTCTTTCACTCACTGTTTGGTTCCCTCTACATCAGCTGCTTGACAGATATCAGTTTTTTTTCTGGCTTTCTTTTATTGCTATATGSATTCCCACCCCACTTGACTTGACAGTTATTTGGGGGTGGCACCTGTGGTGGCCAATCAGATGCTGGGGTGGAACTTGCCACCCCATTGGCCCCACCCTTGATGAAGCAAAGTGCTGGAAGTAAAGTATCAAACTTTAGAATCGATACGGTCTGATCATGTGTTTCTGTGGATTTTCAGTCATCCAGGACATGGAAAATTAAAATAACAAAAATTAACCAATTGGACTTTTAATGCAGCAGGAGTTTTTTTTTTATAACTGAAGAAAATTAAAATAAAACATTTGCATTTRTTTTCTTTTCTTGTCTCAAACTGTACCTAATCCTGAAACTGAACCAGGACTCAGTTGTGACGTTACCCCCCCCACATTAAGAGCTGGTAACACTGAATGATGGTGTTCAGTTGTTCTCGTGAACAGGAAGTAGTGAGTTGAAGTTTGTCACATTTTTTCTTCTCCAGTTTGGTGAATTACGCCTCTCTGCACAACAACGTCTACTGTAAGCCTCACTTCTCTCAGCTCTTCAAGGCCAAGGGAAACTACGACGAGGGCTTCGGCCACCGACCCCACAAAGAGCTGTGGGAGAGTAAGGAGAGYGAGGACGCCTCACCGCAGCCCAAGACCCAGAGCTCACCCTCAGATCAAGACAGCCCCAGTGTGGAGGACTCCCCGCTGGCCAAAGTGGTGGTCCTGACAGCCACCATGGAGGCTCTGGGTCAGGGGTCCTCGGAGAAGGCCGAGAGGCCCGCCGAGACCCGCAGGCTGAAGATCTCCTGGCCTCCAAAGACCGATCCAGAGGACACACCCAGTCCCAGCTGGGTCATGGAAGGGGGCTCCACCACTAAGCTCATCAAAGCCAAGTGGCCCCCAGAGGAGGAGGAGACCCAGTCCTCCTCCCCAGAGCAGGACCGGGGCTCGCCCTGCCTKCGCCAGAGCTCCTCCCTGAAGGAGCGCAGTATGGCCTTCTCACTGGCAGCACAAGGCAGCAAACCCAGTCCTCCTGTCAACCAGGACCMTACGAGTCCTGAAGCCTCCATCAAGGACCAGCAGCTTGAGGGCCAGTCCTTGGACAGCTGTGTGGACTCACACARCAGCTGTGGAGAGGAGGACCTGACGGACCACCATCTCATCACAGAGAGGGAGACCAAAGCAGCAGGAGGTGAAGATGAGGAGGAGGAGCAGATGGAGGAAGACTGGGACGTGCTGGAGGAGGAGCTGTCTGATAAAGGTCAGATTTCAGCAATGATGATGATGATGATGAGGAGGAGGAGCAGATGGAGGAAGACTGGGACGTGCTGGAGGAGGAGCTGTCTGATAAAGGTCAGATTTCAGCAAAGCCCATGGCCGGCTTGTCTCCTGAGGGGGAGGGGGAGGTCATCCAGTCGTGTCAGGAGGACGTGGGCTTCTGGGACAACGAGGAGGTCCAGGATAAGGAGGAGCAGGAGGTGCTGTCTGTGGAGGAGATGATCAAACGCAACCGATACTATGAGGAAGAGGAGGAGGAAGAGGATGTGTAAAGTAACATCTGTGTTGTTGATCTCTTTAACATTCCTGCTTTTATTTTCAGAAAAGATGTTTTTCAGACGGTCGGTGCTGACCTCTGACCTTGTGCCTCCTTCACACCCCTTCAACCATTCTTACAGTTTTTAGAAGTTTGGGGAAATGTTTTTAAATGTTTGAAACATTGTTTTTATAATTTTCTAATGTGGACTTGGAGAAAAACTTGATTTCATTTTAGAATCATGTGAGAATTAGAGCTGAAATCCAGATTAATCTGAGGAACCAGGAACTCTGTTCACTTTTCTCTTTACATAGAATCTGTCCTTCACTTTGTAAACCAGCATCTGTTTTTGTCTCTTCTGAATGTTTTCGTTTTTAAGATTTCTAACTGAGTAATAAATGTTATATTTTTTAAAACCAGAGGACCAAAAATCCTTTTCTGCTACTGTTTAATAAACTCCCTTATTAAAAAAAACTTGATGTCTGAAGAGTTGTGTTTGATGGTTAAATGTTTTAATTTTCAGTTTGAGTTGATTCTTCAGTTGATTTACAAACAGGAAGGGAAAGGATTCATTGTTTCTCCACCTGCTGTACTTTCAGTTGWACTTTGAGCTAATTTCTGTCTTGCAGAAGTAGATTGCTGTAAGATTTCCTTTCGTCTCTTCTGAGTGAACAGTTCTTACTAAAGCTGTAACAGTTAACGTTTGTAACGTGACAGAAGATAAAACGATTCTTTTGAAACAAAGCGATCTTAATGGGTTTGAATTGTTGTAACTTAACACTTAAAAAGTTAAATTTAACTGTTTTTATACAGAACTTTTCATACAACATTATTTTATTTATCAGCATCTTTTCAAAACTCCCAAGGCCACCTTACAGAGGTCAATCTCAACTGACCTAAAACAAGAAAAGTCAGATTATTTTGAGCCATGTTTTCCAGAGTGGTTTAATGAAACAAAAACTAGCTGCACATATTTCATTTATTATAGATTATCACTGTGTCAGAATTACACAAGCATTAAATATTTTATTAAAAGGTCCTGAAGGTTCTGGGTTGTCCGAACCTGATGAGTAAACTAAATATCTCCTGGAGTCACAGGTGGAGCTGTTTGAGTCAAGCCTCAGAGCACTGAAGCTACTGTCAGGCACGGTGGTGGCAGCATCAYGCAGTGGAGCTGGTGGATTGGATAAAGTTAGTACTAGAAGAAGCCCTCTCTTTAAAATTAAAACCAGAACGCAGCTGGATTCTAACAGACACTCATCAGAACTGTTTTCTGACTGAAATAAACAAACATTGAGCTTCTGGAATGGTCTTCTTTAAACCCCGCCCWTTTAAATGACCTCTACGAATCAGAGCAGCCAAATATCAGCCTGAGGTCCGGGTGTAACAAAGAATTTTTAATCTAATGATATTTAAGTCATAATTATAAAGTAGTAACTTTATTTTATTTTTGTATCATGCACTMCAAGTGCCCACCCCACATGGGCTCACAAGACCCAACAACATACATTCACACAGTATACAATTACTATATATGGAAGCCTGTATGTATGATTTTGACTGGGCRTCAGTTAGATAAAAAATCACAACAAATTCAAACTTGTTCACCCAGTTCTTGATTTTTAAAAAGATGAAAGGAGTTTTTCTTTTGACTGCTCCACTCTGCAGCCTCAGGATTAAAACTGAGCTGCTGCAGCAATGTTTATCACTCCACCCTGGAAAGAAATTATTCAAATAAAWGAATAAAACCTCAAAACGAATTTGACCTTCATGCTTACAATGAGTGGATTCAAACTTCTCACCACAACTGTAGCCATAAAATAAAATAAAATTAAAGTCTTTAAGTCAGTTCACTTTGATTAATACTGAGCAAACAAACACATATTTTCTTCATTCCTCTATGTCTCCAGCARGGTGTAGTACTCAGTGGAATATTATTACTAGTACTACTATGCATTGTGGCCTTTGTTCTGCAGGTCTCATTCCTTACTTTAATTATTTCAATTATTTCATCTACAAAGGACCAGGGTGATTTGAACAGATTTAATTCTATATTACATAAAATCCTAATGCAAAAATCCATTTTATATTTACTCAGATTATCTTTAAATGATCAAACCATTTGACTGCTGATTTGAAACATTTAAATAAGACAAAAAAGCGAAAAGAAATCTGCAAAAGGGTGACTATGTCGGCACATCACTGTGACACGTTAGACCTCCAGTCTGTTGTAGGAAATCAAGAAATTCTCTGATGGCTCAGAGGAGGGCAGTGTCACCCAGAGGGAGGCAGAGAAACAGAGGAAGACAGGAAACTGATCAGAAGGCGGACAGGAGCTTCAGCTACATGTCTGTCTGAGGTTGTGATAAATAAAATGAAATAAACATGTCAGAGCAGATGGTGTGTTTGTTTACAGATCAGTGAAGTTCTGTACGACAGCAGAGACAGAACAAACCATAGAAGGTCTGTCAGGAGTCTGAAGACTCCCACAATCCACCCTCCATCTGACCTGTTTACTGAGGCTGGCCCCTCCATCTGACCTGTTTACTGAGGCTGGCCCCTCCATCTGACCTGTTTACTGAGGCTGGCCCCTCCATCTGACCTGTTTACTGAGGCTGGCCCCTCCATCTGACCTGTTTACTGAGGCTGGCCCCTCCATCTGACCTGTTTAC